TCCTTCCAAGGTTCGGAGTCTCGCTTGCTACCGGTAGAAATGATCTCGTTATTCGAATCACCGGTACTTCGTCGCGGTTCACTACCACTATCGCTCGACGAAGAGATGCTTTGAATGAGAGGCGGTGAATCAGGTGGGCTACCAATGAAGAACACCTTATGAGTGCTAAGTTCGGAGGACACTGGTATCGCGGTAAATCGTCTACCCCCAGCATCAGTCGTTATTGTCTTAGTTTCTGGCACAGGAGTTGAGTATCTTCGTAATCCAGAATCGATGCACTTTGCTTTCGTAACCTGCATCGAACTACACTGATTCGACTTGAATGCCACTGTAGTCCGTTGATCCTCGCTTACTGATTTATCACCCTCTAATTTCATCTTCGAAACAGAAGTACCGTCCGTCTTGGATTCTGTTTCAAGACTATGACTTCCTTTTTCTTCACTAGAACCAGTCAACGACGCATAGAAACTTTGCGTGAAGTCAGTTCCTTGAGCAGAAGAGGGTCGCTTATTACGATTCTTGAGACTCGTGTCTTCCACGCGAATAGTTTGCACTGAATGGCGTCGTGAATGATCGCCACTTGAAAGGGGCTCGGTTTTTTGTCTGAACAGCTCCGTGATCGTGGTACCATATCTTTTCCCAGAGACCTCCGTTTCTCTCGGTACTTTCATATCGCTCTTTGCTTGCATCGAATCTCCCTCGTGTGTAGGTGGAGTACCGCAACGACCATCCGAGCAAGATTTTTCTTTCGGGGAGAACGACGACGAGCTAGAACTATCTCCCTCCACCAAGATTTGAGAGTAGCACTGCGACATTTCTGCAGTGGCAGATAAATATCTCATTCTGACGTACGGTTGTAACGGAGGGAATGTCTGTTGTCTTGTCAACTGTTTCGATTGACTACCCGGTTTCTGGGAGTCCGGCTGTAAGACCGTACTTAATCTCGATGCTTCAGCACTATTAGTGATGCTAGCTATACTAGTTTCTGGTAAAAGGCTTTCAGCACTGACGGGCCTTTCAGCACTATTGGCGTTTGGCGATAGTTCTTGACCTATACTGCTTCCTTTGGACGATAACAAAGATAATGAGCTAGGATCAAGGAGGCTTTGATCCTCCAGCTTCAGTAACAGATTTGACTTTGATTTGCTTTGCTCACTGGGCAGGCTCTCGCGTCTAATTGTGCTTCGTGGTAACAATGTTAATGGTTTCGAAACACTCAGAGGTACCGAGTGACGTCTTCCAACCCGTTCCAAACCAACTCGCGCTGGTAAACTTTGCATTCGAGGAGATTGAACATAGGCAGCTGGTATGAGCAAGTCGATACTTCCTGTATCTTCTTCTGCGGCTGGATCCTCCACAGAGCTGACAGCATCTTCCACTTCTTCCAGTTCGGAGATCTCCGTTTCCGTTTCTTCCGCCGTTTCTTGCAAGATCAACGCCTCCCATTTTTTTTGGTTGGTGCGCAGATGCTCCATTAATGAAACGCTCAATCCGTCGCCAAGGAAACGATGCCATTCCTCGTAAAGAGGCGTCACGACGAACTTGAAGAATCCAGTTTGTATCTTTGGTATGCTAGTGGTATGTCGATCGCATAATGGCGTCACTGGAAGGTTCAGCCGACGTTCGTAATCACCTTGCCGAAAGAATTCTTCGCATACTTTGTACGACCATTTCCTCGAAATATCCCACGGTCTGCAAGGGTTCGATATATCCGCGCATTTCAGGGCTATTTGTAAAATGAAGTGTCGATCGTCTGCCCGTTTCATTTCCAGGAGATTTTCATCCAAATAGTGCTACAAACATTCGGTAATAAAAGGATTAGAGCCATTGCTGAGCAGCTTCAAGAATATGTCGCATATTTGTTTAAGTCTTTAAAGTTATTTATACTTTTCAGAGTTTAAAAGGATCATATTTATAAATATGGTCTAGTATATGTTCAAATGTTACTAGAATGATTAAAAGAAAAATATAGCGTGTTTTATAATATGCGAGACATATTTCAACAGTGCATGAACAGAACATGAAAACAACAAGGAACGTTTTTGTAAGTGCTAGATCGAAATACGTCAGAGTTAATGTGACATTTGGTTTTAGTAAGAAAAATTTGCGTTTTGGAATTAGTAAGAATTGTGCAAAGTGAAGTAATATAACAGTGTTTGTTTCTATTGTTACAGCAATTAATCTCGACGCTATACAAAATCAGATTTCAGTTTCCAGATATAATAAAATTTATTTTAAAGAATTAGACTAGACTTTTAAGGTCATAGTTTTGAGATTTGTGATCTAAAATAAAAAATTCAAGGTAACATACGACTCCAAAAATTTCAGAAGGTAAACATACAAACTTTAATTAGAAATTTCCAGATTCGAGAAGTGCTATATTGTATTCCTATAAAGTTTGAATTGTACTTTAATTTCCAATATTTATCATTAAATTATGGATTAGCGCACGGATGAAAGGAAAGTTATTTGATTGTATTATAGTTAGTTCTTATAACTGTTTCATTAGTAATTATTTAGCAGCAGGAATATTTAACGAGTTTTTATTCAGTTTCTAAAATATTTTAAACGATGAAAATAATTATTTCGATCGCAAAAAGTTATGTCGATAACAAAAGTAATAAGCAGATAACGTAGCCTGAGAAAAGAGATCAGTAAGTTTTCTAATGAGGTAAAAATCAATCGGAGGAAAACAACTGAAGCTTTATAAAAATATTATAACGAAGATGACTGCGCGATCTTTGAAGCATTGATTTTATTTATACTTTGCATAATTATAAAAGATACAAAAAGTAATAATTTTAATAAACCAACTCTAAACTTTTTTTAATAAACCAACTCTTGTAACGCACAACTCTAAAATAAGAGAGAAATTAACGTTTAAAGTTTTCGTATTTACTTGTCTGAGAATTAATAAAATCAAGAATGTATTTTTTTATGAAAAAGCGAAAGGTTTAATTAATTAAGGATCGTAAGTTTGAGTTTTATTATTACGAGAGTTATCATTTTTTTATTCGTTCTCGTCTTCATTTTTTTTATTAAAACTAATTAACACAATTAATTTTTCGAACTCAAACAGAAACGATCGAATGAAAGAAATTTTTTGTATATGTATATTTTAACTCTATCAGATGAAGAGAAATTCATTTTTTCAGATTATTATTTTAAAAAATAAGGGGAAAGTGAAGAATATATTTATAATAAGTGGAATGGCACTCATCATAAAATCATAAAGTATTGCAACACTGTACATTAAATAAATGATTAGTTACTTATAAATAATCTATAATAAATGGTTTGTACAATTTATTACTGTGTGTAAACATTTATCTTTTAATATATTAAAAATAGAGCATATTTTATCAACATTTGAAAGGGCTTCCCTTTTACCCACTAATCCCAATATAAACCACGTAAATTCTGGAATTAATTCAAAAATCGGAGCACTCCATTGATGGTGTAATAAAATATTTGTTCTTTAATTAGTTTCAGTAAAAAATTAAAGGTATTTAAAAAATTATAACTTTTGCACACTTCGAAAACCTCGCACAAACCTCGGTTTAATTTTATCGCTTTTCTAAAACATTTAATGTTAATTTTCCCTTTATATTTGAGAATAGCGTGCTGCGATTTTGCCAAAGTACTACCTTTGCTGTTCTGTATAATTATGCAAAGTTTGAATGAAATTGGTGTTCCTAAGGTTTCGAAATAAGTACATATACGGAAAATTTTTAAATTCTAAATTCTTTCTTACTATTGTTTACTCTAATTTTTATTATTTATTCTAATCCTGATTAATGTATTAATTATCCAATTGTGTATTACAATGTTAATTCTCGACAATCTTTGCATACAAGCTAACTCGATAAATATATTGATGACAATTTTTAGAAAGAACAAATTGAAAATAGCGATGAGTTGAAAAGATACTATTATTTTTTGTTGAATCGAACAGGAATTATTAGACATAATTAATAAAATTATTACACTAATCAATTAAGAAGAGAACATATAGAGTGTCCCACAATTACTGTAAGAGCCGAAAACTCTTTCCTTCGCCAAAATATTGGTTGAGATTCTATTTTCGAGTTATTAGCAGAAAGCACTGACCAATGAGAAGAAACTAAAATAACTCGAAAATGGAGCCTCAACCAATATTTTGGCAAAGGAAAAAGATGTTCCGAATCGCCCTATCTACCACCTCTTTTCGCCTCTTACAGTAATTGCGGGACATCCTGTATATTATAAATGTGCATAAGAAATATATTTATATATAATAAATACAAAAATAATTAATAAAATAAAAAATACTGTGTGGGATGCAAACCCACGACAAAAATATCTTTGGTATCCACCATTTAATCTAATTTAATTAGATAATTTACATGTTATCTTATCCAAAACAAAAATACTAAAAATCAAGTAATACTCTCGTTTTATAAAAGAAATGACAAGCTTGCAGTTATTAATCCGCGTTTTTGCCCGAAATATGTCGAGAGAGTGCGTTTTACATTTCCTTAATTATCGCACACTAAAAATTCTTCAAAAATTATTCGTGAAATGTATCAGTATGAAATTTGTACTTTTTGTAATATTTTGTTATTTATAAGCAGGATTTGCAACGAAAAAACCTGAAGAAAATTTTCTAACATACATTTCTCGTGTTTGCAACATTTTTGAATATGATCCGAACTTTTGTATATCATTAAATAAAGAAAATAGAGTGAAACTCGATAATCCGAATTTCGGTCGTAACTACCCCTTCGTTCAATTTTAAGAAACTATTCAATTTTATTTTAAGAAACTTTTGAAAACACTTGGGTTGCAGGTATACGAAATATTTACAGCGTGCACAAAGAATGGGTTGTTAGGTGAGGATCTATGAAACCATAACCCTAATAAAATAAAGTGCCCCCCTAATAAAAGTAACCGTCATGACACGTTTCAAGTTTTCATCGAAGTGATGGCCACATATTATAAAGTACCCAGTTTAATGATTATTAGCGCAACGCTATTAAAGCTTTATAAAAGTTCACCTTCAATCGAATGAGAAATTCCTGCTGCCTCGTGATATCTGTGGCCAATATCAACGAGCTGATGTGTCGCTGAAGTTCAGGTCTCACGTTAGCAGGCAACTGATCCGAGACACCGCTTTCTAGTAGACAACCGATCGCCGATCTCCAATGATGATTTTCAAGAACCGACGTATTCTGAAAGGAATTCAATGTCACCTGTCGAATCATCTTCGTACATGGATTCGAATGAAACGTCTTGGATAGAATCGACTCACTTGATAGAGAGCAGCCAAGTGATTGCTTGTAGCAACCAGAAACGGTTGATTGACGCCCGGATGATCTAGATCATGCGTCACCGCGGCTATTAGCGCAGCCATTATCTCCAAGTTAGTTAAGTGCGTTCTGATCTGCAAATATACAAAATATTGAACATTATTTTCAAAGCTCATTATTATGAAATTCCCTACTTTTATCAGAATGTAGAAATCTTCGAATTTCTCCTGAATTTATCCTCAATAATGATCGATAATGTCGATACTAAATATATCGATGTGGTAGGTATTTCAGGATATCAGGATTTCGTTAATGATTGCAGTTATTATAATCGCAGAATTAGATCGGAGTTATATGTAGTATATTAAAGACAAGTATAACTAGAACTGTTAAAGATGAGAAAATCATGACTAGTTATAAGTAAGAAAGGATCTTGATCTTGCTTTCATTTCTGTTGGCAAATATTGTTACATGTAGAATGATCCAGTATTTTATCGCCGAACTTTACTAATATATACCATGAGCAAAAATAGGAAAAAAGTTATATTCTAAAAATTAAAATATTTTCAATTGATAATGTAATCGATTGATTAAAGTTTATTAATCACATTAAGCTAGGCCTTTTAACACTTTTTTTAAAATGTATAATAAAAGTATTTAATGAATTTGGATTGCCTTGTTTTTCGATGGCACATGCAGTGTGTCCTAGTTTCGTACCACTTTAAAACTATGAAAACTTTGCCAGCATGTTTTATAAATAAAAACAATAAAAAAATGTTATATAAACATAGGCTGTTAAATGTTTTATTGAAAGATTGTGATGACAATAATAATGGACAATTTTCTCCTTCAATACAGCACATGAATAATTGCGGACTTTTATATTTTTTTTATTAACTTTCAATAACGCATTCAAAAGCCTATGTTCATATAAATAGATTTTCTCATTTCTACTTTTAACTTAGGCTATTAAAATTATGTGGACAAATAAAAAATCCTAAGAAACCCTATTTCCACGCATAGAATATATTAATAAAAGTACGAATAGAATGAATTATAAGTAAATTTCGAATGGAACATGTTAATGAAGTTTTTAAGAAATTAAATTATCCTGTATATTCGAATCAAAAACTCTTTTTGTAATATAAAGTATATTATACAGGATGCTTGTTTTATATGAATACACTGAAATATTTCAAAAATATGAATAATATGCAAAAATATTTCTGACAAAGTATATAATGTTGAATCGATTAACTATATTCTTCTCTATTTAATTCTTATATTTTGTTTATTTTCTGTCTATTTGATTTCAAAGCGTTCTAAGGATGTAAACATTTGTAATCAAAATTAAATTAAAATCTCTTTACAAAGATTAATTTTTCGGAATATTTTATGTAAAAAACTATTAAACTACTGTAGCGAAAATATTAATTGTTTGTAAAATATCTCAGATTTTTATACAATGAAATAGTTTATGAATTGTTAATATTTTTAACGGTGTACCATAACACGCTTTTACATTAAATATTCAAACAAATAATCTGTGCAAAAACTAATATGCAGTTTCGTCGAAAGACTAAAACGCATGTATTGTTTCTGCATAAAAATGTCTTAGAGCACAAAGTTATGAAGACCAACTCGTTAGATATTCCAATTTTTTGTGTAACATATCTTATTTTACGATAAAAAATATCTCATAAACTATGGATTCTGTCAATATGATATGAATGCTTTCACACGTAATGGCGCGAAAAATCAATCTATGTAAAAAACGATATGTCATCCCATTTAAAAATCTCGATACAGACTTCACAAGATTTTACGTGATCGTACGGTTAAATAGACAAGAATAACGTATGTTATTCTCGAAATCACATAATTTTTATCTGAAACATTTTTGCGTATCGTTCATATTTGTTGAGATATATAAATATTTTTAGTTACATAAAATTGACACATTGTATACAGTGGTTGACAAAAATTTTCAGTCCAGCTATAATTTTATTGTATCTTCATAAAAACGCATATTTGCAATAAATATAGCAGAAAACAAAAGTATTCATGTAGCAACATGTAAAAATAAAAGGGACTATATTTCATATACATACTAATTATACTGTTATATGTACATATGATCATAGGATATCCTGTAAATTATGATAAAAGAGGAAAAGGGGTGATTCTACTTGCAAAAATAAGTCGAACATTTTCGTATCTAATTTTATATTCGACACAATTGAAATCAAATATTTGTACAGTAATTCTTAAAAAGTTTGTTTCTTGCAAGAAAAATAAAAATATGAGTAATATTTTGTTATCCATTCAATGATGAGTGGACTTATAAATCAATAAATGTTATAATTTATTCCAGTATTATTAACCACTATTTTTTATAATATTGTTATTATACTTATATATTTATTCACAAATCTAATTATCTCATTGAAGGATAATATTTTAGCAGTACTAGTATAATATTTATAAATTTATAAGTTATTGAAAATGTAATTTCTTTTTCGGTAAATAAATTTTCGGTAAATAAAAAATTGTATTATACATTTTTTACGAATATTTCACGTCGATATTTATAACATTTACCGGTTTTACTATCAGTTAATACCCTGTATTGTACAACGCTGGTATTATTAAACGTAAAGAGGAAAAATTAATTGTTGTACTATAATAAGTGAAAATTAGTAGAACGGTAAGATTGCATCAGCACAAAAGTCTTTATATATTAACGTTCATTTACCTTAATACATCAATTAACTCCTGCCATTTTAATTACAGAAATAAATGATTTTGACCCAAAAAGTAAATAATATTCTAGAAATTACTTAACTCTTCGTTGCATTGTGTTCCATATATAAGATGAAATGATGTCGTATCTAGTCAAATGCAAATAAACTGCATATTTTTTAATTACAAAGATTATCGAAAAATTTTTTTTTTAATTACAGATTCCTCTTTCAAATGTATGTATACAATTTTCTTTTTGGTAAATCTGTAACACGACAAATATGTGTTTATTTATTACATTTGAGATTTAACAAATATATTTTTTATAATCTTTTTATAGTCTTTTTTACAGTATGTACATATAAAGTACGTTCTTGTCTTTAAATGAACAAATTATCTTATAATTAGAATAATTATCCTTATAATTAGAAAACCTATAAATAGCAGTTATTATTTTATAAGATCACCAATTATACAAATATCTTACAATCTATTTGACCTAAAATGCACTAAATTTTTAATAAAGTCTACTAATATTTTTATCATTCGTCTTCTGTTAAAATTTTTTCAACATATTGTTTTAACTCAATACTGTCACATTTTAAAATAATATTATGTATTCATAGAAATGATTTCAGTCATGTAGATATGAAAACAGAAGTCGAAAACTAAATGTCAAAATGAATTTCAGAAATTTATAATCGACTATAAATGCAATTAATTGCTTGCATTAGGAATTGAAGAAATATTAACACATGCATAAATGTCTTTTGCATTTTAATCAAGAGTTGACGAACTACAAAATATCTGAAAACTATATGTTTTTACTGAGAGTTATTTCCCTATGGGTTACCAGAGGATTACACTTTTAAAAATTGGATAATTTAAAAAAAAATTATCACCATTATTTTTAATTATCTTTGCATAATGTATTCAATAGTTACAGACAAAATACAACGATCTTAAGTATCGGAATGTATTAGGAGAAGTCTCAGAATATGGTTCTACAATCATTGTATATAATTAAATATCGAAAAATATGAGTAGTATTAGGCTATATGTGGTCTGTATGTGTGAACTATGTAGTTGTAAAGATTGTCTTTTTGGGTGATCGAATGTTTTCGGGGCAAAGCGAAGTGCTCATTGCTTTGTGAGAAATTGAGAGAGAGCAAGCCGGTGAGACTTGTAATTCGTAATATTGAGATTCTATTTGTATTTCATTGAGTTAATTTCAAATAATTATATTTCATTAAATAAACTACAATAATCATTTCACTTATTAAAATTATTCTACATATAAAATACAGAAAAAATACAGTAAAATACAGAATTTTTTGTTTGAGTATAATAATTTCGCCTTCAACTGTATGATATGGACAAAGTAAATTATGAATAATGTGCAACAAAATCGGGCAATGTACTAAATTTCACGTATTCATAATCAATTTGACCTGGTATTATGAATACTGCTATAATATAATAATATCTGAATAGAGTGATAGTAATAATACTACATACATCGTTCAATAGGTAGATGACATGTATGTAGTATATATAATAGATAATGTTTACGAAATTAAGATTGTATTAAGCCATGTAATTGATGCAAAAAAATCAATACTCACAGAGGTTATAATAGTTACACGATCTTAACGATCGATGAAGCATTTGGTAGAAAAAGAATTGTGTCAGAAAAGTAGATGACTAGGTGTTAGGGATAGTCGATACTAACACAAACGACTATTGTATAATTGTCGTAAAAATCGTAAGACGCTCATTATACTACCAGTTTTCAAAGCACATGTTAATATCGGTAGTGAAATTTATACAGATTGTTTCAAAAGTTACACAGAAGATTATATACATAAGAGTGTTAATCTCAGTACAGATTCCGTAAACAAGTATAATTTACTTTGAATTTGACTTAAATTATAGTCAAACTTCGATTAAACTTTAACTAAATAAAACTTAATAAATGTTAGCTAACAACGGAATGCATATTCAAAAAAAATTGGAATCATACAGATATCATGCAAAAGACTGAATGAGAGAAAGAGGATGTTTTAACGATAATGAAATACAAAGATGCGAATATTTAATGCGACAATACTGTTGCCGAAATAATATTAACCTAATGGTATTCTTAATGGACGCGATTCGAATACAACACTTGCTTTTCTAAACAATAAAATTCGTTTAGTTATCACATTAAACTAAACTGTATAGTACACCAAAATTGTAAAACTTTTTGTTGAATTTTCATTTCAATGAAATTAGCAAAAATAAATGTATTGAGAAGTCGGTAATTAAGTTCATGCATTTATCGATTACTTGTAAGATACTGCTCGATTTTGATCGGATCTTCGTATGTTAGTAAAATAAAATTTACATA